TATCATACCATGAGACTTGGATATTGTTACACCCCTAGTTTTGAGTCACAGCTGGTGGAAATGTTAAGAAAATACAAACCTCGATGCTCAATGACTATAAAGACGCCAAATGGCAAGAAATTCATGGAGGGAGATCACGGACATTTTAGGCTCAGACAAAAATCTGTATCGTCTGCCCTTATCTCCGTGACAAGTTTGCGAAAGCCAAAACACAGCTCACCAAAAAAATAGCAAAAGGGGCAGGACAGTTTAGCAACAGAGCATCTTTTGAAATATGAAATGTCAGAGCCTAAACAAACTTTGTTCTTGTTCTTATCACCTCAAGAACAACTTATGTTCTTATGAAGTATGAATAGCAGGGATGTAACAATAACTGAAATATCGTGATATCGTATCGTTAAAGTTCTCACAATAATATCGTGGACCATCACAATATATCAAATTAAAAGTCTCTTTGCTTAAATTGAGTTATGGTGCAGTAATAGTTAAAAAAGACAGAGGGAACTACATAGACCATGATCCTTTGCTCCATTTCAGTGCAGACTACAAGAAGAAATAACAGTTTTAAGTCTTAGGTCTTTGGCTTAAATCTTGTCAAGGCATTTTAAGAGGAAAAAGCAGCATATTAACAGTTTTAGCTCTTTATCCTCCACAAAATATCGCAATAAATATCGTACCTTAAGATGTATATCGTGAAAATATCATACAGAGAGATTTAGATATTGTTACATCCCTAATCGTGAGCCTCCCCACCATATCGTGAGCTTTCCCACGATATCGCAATAAATATCGTACTGTGAGGTTCATACCGTGACAATATCGTATCGTGAGACTTGGATATCGTTACCCCCCTAATGAATAGGCCTTTAGGGTTCATCATTGCCGCTTGCATCTATATTTTGCTCTAGCGTCATTCTTCATTTTATCAATACAAATAATAATAGTAAAAACCGTAACCTTTTTTTTCTTGCTATTGTTTTTCTAATCAATATAAACGTGGTGTTACTCCTCCCCCTTTGCTCGTGATGCTCCTGAACGGTCCTCTGTGCCCGTGTGTGTGCGAAGGTTCACAGGTTGCTAGTTATTAAAGGGGATATCTTTTAGCAGCTCATTTGATCCTCATCTCCATGCCCTAATCCGCGTCCTGTCTAAATTGGCCCTCTGGCTACGGTGATTGTGCTACTAGGCAGGCTAAGAGCTCATAACTAACTCACGCTTCCACGTAGACGCACCAACAATCCGATATGCGTTTGAATATTCTGCTGTTGTACTATTGTTTCTCTGAGGGGAGAAAATGAGTGGGAAATTTCACCTGTAATCTCAGTGTGGATTATTCAACGAGGAGGATTTAGGTCATTTTTATGTAAGCGTTGACCGGTGACAGCGAGCGCGTTTCGATGTGTAAATACAAACACGTGCGTTCTGACTGTTGCCTAATGAGCTGTGTTTGTCCAGCGGCAGTAAAACCCTTCCCTGTGAGTAAGGTTGTTTTCACACGTTTGACCGCTCTGTGGACTGACCCCAGTGCACACTACATTTAGTTCATTTTTGGATCGTTCACACCATAGACTGTATATAAATGGACATAGCTAATACTCTAGCCGCCGTGTTCCAGATAGGAGGTTTACATGCGGCTCTTCTGGCTCCTACTCCCATTGACTTACATTGGAATATTGTCGTTCCTCTCTTTGTAACTGCTGACGTGAGCCTTGTCATTTTGGTCTTAAAATGTTTGTATTAACCCGCTCTACATGATCTTGGGTTTCCATTATTTAGTCAGTTAAAAAAATCCTATTCATAACATAGAACCTGACTCCAAATTCGCCCCTGTAACCGTTATGAATGCGAGCTTCATTTGAGCGGCACTGAATGCTGTGGGTGGGTGTCATTAAGAAGTTGCCGATACGAAACATACCTCGATACATAGACCACGATACGATACATAGGCCACGATATGATACATATCTCGATACAGTGAGCTTTCGATTCGATACGGTATATATTTCAAATCAAATCGATACGGTTCAATAAAAAAATAAAGGCTAAATCATGGCTGTGACACTAAAAGTCTTTGATAAACCACTTCTTGTGCAAAGTTCATACGAAACACAAACATTTTAATCATTAAAACAGCAAAAATGTCAAATGTGTCGCATAAACAAGTTTCCTTCTTCTGAACAAGCAACAAAACTGTAGCAATGTAACAAAATAATGTACCGGTAGTCAAATATACCAAAAAAATACTCTTTGCGATATATCGAGACAGGAGCCCACAATATCGATACTGTATCATTACATTAAACGATACGATATATATCCAATATTTTCAATATCACACTTTGCTCACCTGCGCAGACAGACCTGTAGGACAGAAAAAAAAAAAGCTGATTTTTTGATACCCAAATCATCATTTTAAAAGCTCTTTTTTAGACAATATTGCTATTTTCAACACTAATATAATAACATTTATTTATTATACGATGTGGTCTTACACTAGTTCTGATAAAACTCAAGATGAAACTGTTCAGGAAAGGTCAAATTTTATCCAGTTATGTCATTTTCAGTATCGATACTTGATTAAATGAGTTTTGAAACTAGTTTTAGTTTAGATTTTTGATACTTTTGACAACCCTAACAGTTCGAGGATTGACTTGTTTCATTTTACCCTTATACTTTCAGTCGATCTACTTGAGTAATACATCAGTACAAATGTTGGCTGCTATAGTTAAGCGAGTAGACCGGTGCATCTCCGTGCGTATGATTTGAAATGCTCACTCAGCACTCCTGCGAGGACCACCATCGGCTCTGCACCTGTGTGAAATTACAGGAGAGATTTTATTATCATTGTAATACACCAGAGTATTTTCATCTGTCTATGCACATTGTGTACTTATTGCATGCTCAATTACGCACTGTCCAAGAGCTGCAAGAGCTAGTTAGACTTTTTTTTTTTTTTTCTTTTTTTTTTATATTTAGTTTTGTTTACTGCCCATTCTTGTGCCTCATCTGACCATCTCTTCCAAGGTCAGCTTTTCAGCCAGCTTACAAGGGAATGATACAGAAGATTATTGCTTCGATCAATAAGCTCAAAATGAAGCAAAGGGGAGTTCATTTTATTGACTTCCTCGTGTACAGTGGCAGTTTTAACATTTAATTGTCTCTCTTGTATCTGGCCCAAAGTCCTGTTTAGCGCCGGTCAGCCTCTCCGGACCGGTGATGGCCTGGGTGGGCACACATCGCCCGGGCACCATTTTGTAACGGCCCCTCGTAGCTCAATTATTCACCGTGTTATGCTGCTCGTGTACTTTGTCGAGACATTCTGAAAAGAGAATAAATAAATGAAGTCGGTATTTCACGTGTTTCTCTCTCTGTCTCTGTATCAGTCTGTCTTTCTGTCTCTCAATCTGTCTCTCTCTTATCTCTCTCTGTCTATCCCTCTTTGTCTCTCTCTTTGTTTCTGTTTCTCTCTGTCTCTGTCTTTCTCTCTGTGTCTTTTTGTGTGTCTCTTTCTGTCTTTCTCTCTCTCCCTGTCTCTCTCTTTCGATCACTGTCTGTTTGTTTCTCTGTCTCTCTTTGCCTCTCTCTCTGTTTCTGTCTTTCTCTGTTTCTCGTCTCCCTCTTTGTTTCTCTGTCTCTCTCTCCATCTCTCCCTCTCTGTCTGTTTCTGTCTCTCTCTCTCTGTCTTTCTGTGTGTCTCTTTCTGTCTTTCTTTCTCTCTCTCTCTGTCTCTCTCTTTCTATCACTCTCTTTGCCTCTCTCTCTCTGTCTTTCTCGCTCTCTCTCTGTGTCTTTCTGTGTGTATCTTTTGTTCTCTCTCCCTCTCTCTGTCTCTCTCTCTGTCTCACTTTCTTTCTCTCTGCCTCTCTCTATTTCTCTGTCTCTCTCTCCATCTCTCCCTTTCTGTCTGGCTCTGTCTCTGTTTTTTTCTCTCTGTCTTTCTCTCTCTCTGTCTCTCTCTCTGTCTTTCTGTGTGTCTCTTTCTTTCTCTCTCCCTCTCTCTGTCTGTCTCTCTCTCTGTCTCACTTTCTTTCTGTCTGCCTCTCTCCATCTCTCTCTGTCTTTCTGTGTTTCTCTCCCTCCCTCTCTGCCTCTCATCGTCTGTCTGTGTCTCTTTCTTGTCTTTCTCTCTGTATGTCTTTCTCTTTCTGTCTCTCTCGTTCTCTCCGCTTCCCGCTCTCTCTCATTCTTTCTCTCTCCCTCTCTCTATCTCTTTCTCGTTCTCTCTCCCTGTCTCTGTCTCTCTCTCTGTTCTCTCTGCCTCTCTTTCTCTCTCTCTGCCTTTCTGTGTCTCTCTCCTTCCCTTTCTGCCTCTCTTTGTCTGTCTCTCTGTGTCTTTCTTGTCTTTCTCTCTGTCTGTCTTTCTCTCTCTGCCTCCCTCTCTCTCTCTCTTTCTCTCTCCCCCTCTCTGTCTCTCTCTCGTGTTCTCTTTCTCTCTCTCTGCCTTTCTGTGTCTCTCCCCTTCCCTTTCTGCCTCTCTTTGTTTGTCTCTCTGTGTCTCTCTCTCTCTCTCTCTGTCTTTCTGTGTCTCTCCCCTTCCCTTTCTGCCTCTCTTTGTTTGTCTCTCTGTGTCTCTCTCTCTCTCTCTCTGTCTCTCCTCCTGCCTGTCTTTCTTTCGCTCTCTGTTTGTCTCCCTGCCTCTCTCCATCTCTCTCTCTGCCTCTTTCTCTTCCTTTCCTTCTCCGAGATGATTCTGTGGAGATTTTTTAAGCAAAACTCGGGGTGCGTTTGATTTCAAAGCGCCGTTCCCTTCAGCTCTCAATCGACGCGGCAACAAACCCCGAGGTCCGCGATCCTACACGGGTGAAGCCGAGGAGAGGAGAGTGTGTCAAACTCAATATTCCTCCATAATGTACCAGGGCTCTCTGGCGCATTCTTGATCAATTTCATTTATTCATCTGCCAGGCAAGCGCTATCCCTCTTGTTTTTCTATACCCATTTCATCATCCTCATCTTTCACTTTTTTTTTTTCTCTCTCTTTTTTAAAATATTTCTTTCTGCAGGCTCTGGCCAGCGAGATACTTTTAGACGTCGGTGAGGTCAAGCAGCAGCTGATGAAGAAGAAGAGGAGGAGGCAGAGGCAGAGCAGCGCTATGGCAACCAGGAGCATGATCAAAGCCAAGACCATCGCGGCCTCCATCCTCAATATGTCCGAGAACGATCTGGCGGACATTATGGACAGTGATCAGGTAAGGCGGTGGGACCACATCGCGAACGCAAACGCTAACTTCGCCAACAGATCTATAGCCAGTGAAGATATGCCCTCAGCGCTTCACGTACCTGGAATGGATTTGTACAACTGTAATATTCACCCCAAAGTTTCTGACGGTTTTACTTAATAATTACATGGCAAAGACATTATTAAATCAATACCGACTTGTTGCTCCAGGCCTCGGCTTTTGTCAATTGAGATGAGTGGCGTGGAGAGGTGTTGGAGAAACTTTTGCGCTTCATTTCAGATCATTTGGTTTTGGCCTTTTCTAACTGTGTAAAAATATGAGCTTCTTGTTTGTGGATTTCACCTGCAGCTAACAATGTTTAGCCTCTCCGTGTCCCCGGGACCTCCTCGTATTGATGGCTTTATACTGTAGATGTTGGCAAGTAGAAAATGCCAATATGAGGCTTGTTTGAGAAGTGTACCAAGCTCAGTCGCCCCGCTAATAATCTAGTTTTGATACTTTGCAGCTGATGGCGTTCCCAAGGGTTTAACAGAACGCTCTGCTCTGTCTGAGGCTGTGTTAGACTTTAATCTGAGCTTTATTTTGACACAATCTGACAACAGAGAACAACGAAAGGTGAGATGATGTGCACTTTTAAACTCGTCATCTCCTCACACATAAAATTACAGTCACTCCTAAACACGAATGTGAAAACTCGTATTGATCACAGACTACTGAAAAAGTTTAGTTTTTGTATTTTTTCTTGATTTTTTTTTTTTTTTTATGTGTGCAGTCTCGTCGTGACTTGGACTCAAGTCACACTTCACTCACTATTTTTAGGACTTGAGACTTGACTTGATAAAATGGACTAAGACTTGGGGACTCAACTTGGACTTGAAGGTCAGTGACTTGGGGCTTGACTCGGACTTGAGGCCTGTGACTTGAGAAGATTTGATGCACAGGCTTGTTTTGAGAAAATACTTTTCTTTTTACACTTGATAAATGTGGAGCTGAATTTTACAAGAACAAACTGGAACATGTCCCTCCCACTTCTGTTTTTGTTACTTTGGATGTCACTGAAGTACTGTAATGTGGTATCCTCAAATGTACTACAGTAATATACAGTATAATACAGTAATATACAGTTCAGTATAATAATATACAGTACAATGCAATAAAACAAAGGGAACTACACAGAACATGATCCTTCCATTTCAGTGCAGACTACACAACAAAATAACTATTAAGTATTTTTAAATCGGTATAATTTTTTTTCTGACCTTAATGATTCACACTAAGATCTTGTCAAGACATTTAAAAAGGAAAAAATCACATTTCTACAACTCTTATATACTCTATAAATACTCATATATAAATATACTGTGATTTTTTAAGTACGGTTTTGTTTAAAATTCATATAAATTTCAAAAATCTAAGCTATATTTACTTTGGTTTAAAGACTTGAAATGACTTGAAGCTTAAAGCAGACGACTTGGACTTGACTTGGACTTATGGGCCAGTGACTCGAGACTCAACTTAGACTGTATTTGACTTGGGACTTGACTGAAAGACTTGAGACTTACTTGAGACTTACTTGAGACTTTCAAAACTACAACTTGGTCCCACCTCTGGCACTGTGTCACCATGGTAACTGCTGAACATTCCTCTATAAACATACAGACAGAACACTCCCAGCGTGATCAAAGTCAAGTCAAAAAGCACGTGGGTATTTTTTTTGGTGGACTTGTAGAAGAGATTTGACAAATTGTTTGGAATTACTGGAAGTCTTTTTGTTCATGTTGAGGAAATGTTCCACAGTATGGCATTAAACTTATAATTAAACTATAGATTTTTTCATTTCTTCATGTTTTTATCGCTCAAAAAATCCCTTGAAACTCCTTGAATTCTCACTGTAAGCTGGGTCATCTCTCCACAGATCTGACCTCTAACTTGGCCTAGCACATCACCTGCTTGTTTACATGGAAAAAAATATTTAAATTTAATGACATACTGTGGAACATTTCAAACAGCCCAGTCCTATTTTTTACTAATATTTTGTAGAATTTCCGTCCTTTTTCTTGTAAAACACCAGAGGATGAGTGGATCTGCCTCCAGTTTGCGGCTTGATAAATGTCTTTTCAGTCAATACTCTGAAACATTCTCTGAAAATCAAACTTGAGTCGACAACCACCGTACTTTTTCACTGAACAGAAACAAAATTACAATGGCTGTCTTGGCTTGAATGACCGGGTGTATGCTCAAAACAACATCAGAAACCTGTCAGATAAATACAAGTGGACATGCTACTTTTTCCTGCGGTAAAAAAATATAAATTAATATCAACTTTCAATTGGATACTGTAGTTGAAATGACTGTTGAGTTTTTACTTTTCCAACTTGTGGGCCTTTCCTGCTCTATAGATCATACCTATCTGGGTTCTCAATTAGCAGCGGCGCGTTACAATCTTCCTCGCCTCCCTGGGGACCTCCTCTATCTATCACCAGATGAGAGAGGTCCGGTGGGCACTCACTCACACTTGAAACCAATTTTGTCCATTTGCGGTACAGCCCCACCCAGGACATGACAGAACACACTTAGTCAATTGACAAAAAGTCGCCTTCATGAGAGCTGAAATATTGGTAGGTTAAATCACTCTCTCCTCAGCGCCACATGTTTCCCCCAGTGGATTATGGGTAGTAAAAGGTAGTCTCACTCTGGGCTGAGCGGCCTTCTGAGGTGTTGGAGTCGATCATGTTATTCTCAGGGGCGAGGAGACTGTGAGAGGAAAGGAGCTTATGAGGCTGTTTAACATGTAGAGAAAACTGAATAATGCAGTAATCAAGATTCAAGACTAATTTTATTGCCCCAAGACTGGGACATTTGTAATCAGAGAAATATTATTTGTTGCATTTGGCATTTTTACTGTATATGGGAGTTTACTAAAACTAAGACATTTACTTTTATTAAAACTTCTATAATATTAATAATAATCTCTAAAGCTGTACACAATGCCACCGTACTGTCTGATTACAGTGGCATTAAAAGTGTAAATAAAAGCTAAACAAAGTGTAACTTAGTTAGATAAGATTGAATATTATAAAACTTGTTTTGTTACATATTCAAATTTTATATACACAAAAATGTAAAGTAGCTTTTAGACCTTGTGAAAGTGTTTTTCTTTGAACCTGAGGACACATGAAGTTGTACAGATGTCTCTATAGTATTTATCCGATCAAACAGTCAGAGTATTCATGTATTCACTGGCTTGTACAATACCAGTGTACAGAGTGGAGCCCAGGGCTCACAGGGATGCACGCACTTTTACTTATACTTTTAAATGAGAGAAGTTCATTGCCAACAACTTTCCTTTAGTTTGGGAGTTTTCTCCAATTCAGAGTTTTCACTTACATTTAAATACTTTATGTGTTTGCTTCTTTTGATAAGTGATGGCCTCATGATGACAGTCTGTATTTTTGCAAACATGTTTTTTCAAGCGTTGCTTTTATTTGGTTCTTCTGATGTTTTTGTCAGAAGTTACTTCAGTGGCTTAGACTCAGGACCACCACGATTCACTTTGGAGAAACCAAAATAACACAATGATAAAAGTAATTTAAAAATAAATATATAGCTTGTGTATTTATGTGCTATTTCTGTAAAACACTCTCCTCGTGTCTCTCAGAGCTGTTACTGCAGTTTTATTTCCCTGCTTCTTCTTGAGTGTGGAGCTGAGCAGCGCTGAGGGCCGGCAGCACAGGCTCCCTGGGCATCTTGTTGTGGAGTTAATGATCCAGATGTAATAAGACTATAATTGCCAGGCCAGTTTGTTTTGCTCCTAATGTGAGATGGAGTCAGAGAGCTGTTATATATCTATCAGGGGTGGACAAGCACAGTTATCCTCTCACATGCAGCGTGCAGAGCCTTGTGGGGAGCTTCAGGGCACTGGAGTCACAAAGAGAGCCTCCTTCTCTATTACAGTCAATACAAGTGCTGTGTTAAGTGAGCACTGGTCAGTATGCAGGCGGCCTATTATTAACTAAGACTGAACAAAGCCTTTTCTCACTTTACTCACCTCAAGGAGACAGAACATGCAATATTACATTTAAAAAGTCTAAAAATATGTTGAACTGAAAGGAAATGAGTTTAAGATATTCAGTGCTCAATTGATACTTTGTGTTAGGGGTTTTCTACATGTATCTCAATTGGCAGAATGTTCAGCACTTACTATGGTTACACAGTGCACACATTTGCAAATATAGACCAAAAAAAAAAATGGATTTAAATGACACATTTTCAGGAGCCTGTGATCAATAGGAGTGTTCATGGTTCTGTTTAGTGTTAGATTTTCAACAAAAAGGTGAGAGTGATTAAGTCTTGTCTTAAAACCCCTTTTTTTTCCTCTGGCTTTTAAACACAGCATGAGTTGTGTGATCCTCTGTGTCTTTTATTTATTTAATTTTATTTATTTTACTTATTTACTGCTATTTTATGATGTGTATGGTTTTGCTTTTATTTGCTTTTACGGGTTTTATTGTTTTAAGACTGGTATGACCAAAATTTTGCAGTTTACCTTTTTTTGTCTTCATTTTATGATCTCCGTGCAGCACTTTGGAAACTGCTTTGTTTGTAAAATGTGCTATATACATGAAGTGGATTTGGATTTGGAACTGAAAAACTGTTGTAATGTAATGTGTGAGAGACTTTTTTTAAGCGCACAAATGATCTTGCCTGTTGTAGTTCCAACCAAATCGTCTTCTTCTGGTCAGATTCTACTAAAATAAATATCAGATTAAAGTCTAACTTGAGAAACAGATCTTCTAACAATGCATTTAGTGAACTTCAGTCCCCTGAGGAATGTTGATGACAGCAGCTTCAAAGTATCGATATTTGACAGAGAATATGCAATAACATTATGTATGACAACTGTGTATGTATTGACAACCAATGAGGGATGAGGGTCAGTTGAGGAGAACAGTTCCCCACAGGAATTATAAGCATAATAACAAACCAATTATACTGTGTGTGCATCTAAATTGGTATTAAAAAATTCCAGATTGGTTTGTAAACCTCTTCACCAGACAAATCAGTGTTGTGACTTGTGTGGGGAGTTGGGTCTGTCCTGGTCAGGCTGGTGCCACCTAGTGCCTGCGCTCAATTTCATTTCTCTCCAGTGACTAGGTCAGGAATCAGAATACACTAGAGCAGGGGTGGGCAAACTAAGGCCTGGGACCCATATGCGGCCCTTTAATCTTTTTAATCCGGCCCGCCGAACTTTAATAATGATAATAATAATAATTTTCAGTATTTTAAAAGTAATTTCAATAAATAGTAAATACAGTAGGACTTGAAAGACAGATTTTTTGTTGTAATGCTTTGTAATGATTTTCAGTTATGGGATATTTCAATAACATGGGATATTTTTTTCCTCTTATGAGGTGAATTACCAAAAAAACTTCATCCATCTGCTCCTGGTCCAGCCCTTCCATCAAATTTTAGAACCCGTTGTGGCCCACGAGTCCAAAAGTTTGCCCACCCCTGCCCTAGACAGTTCACAAGAAGAACCCCGGAAGTGCGAGTTCGGGCACCAGCCAATCAGCGAAAAGCCATACATTCTGTGTTGGCAACGATTCCCGAGATTGAGGATTTAAACCAGAACGAAGAGAATGTTTGGTGAATTTTATCAAGGGGAAAGACATTACAGTCGTCTCCAAAAATGGACCCGTGCAGGACTCTGTGCTGTAGTGCTCCATTACGGAATAAATTAATCTTCAGTTCATTACATAAAGAAGGAGGAAAATAACAAAAGGACGACAGCAGCAATAAGTTTTAAGAAGGATTCAAAAAGGGTTAACTGTAGTGTCTGAGAAAAGTGTATAAAGTGTGTGGTGAGGGGTTTTACAGCCTTAAAACAGATATAATAATTGTGAAATATAAAGTTGTGGATTTCACCTATCGTGGGTTATTTTTAGAACAAAACCCCAGCAATAAACGAGGGACCACTGTATTGCCCTTCTTCTTACGGGGTTTGGGAAAAGCTTAATATACCAGTACATACGTCAGGACCAAATAGAAGCGATTGGTTAAATAAAAAAAGTACCCGCCTCTTGTCTAGCAAACGAATTCTAATGCTGCAAGGTCAGACGGTTTCCACAAAGTGAATCCGGCTGATGAATCAGGTTAGGTCTGTCCAGCACCGCCACTCAAAAACGGATCAAACTAAAATTAAATAAAAGTCCAAATTCAGATTTTTTTGTGAGCCTTGCTGACCGTGGCCCTTACGAACTAACTATTCACCAGTCAGCAAAGTGGAACTGCTCCCCCACTGTCCCTGTGATGTAGTACAAGGTCTATCACCCTCTTTCAAACAGCAGCACCTGGGGTTCGAAGTGAAGAGGAAGCACATTCATTCAGAGCTGTACATGGCCAAGCTCTGTTCATTAGCGCTAACAAGGCTACCACTCCGCTACCTCTTTATACATAAGTAGCATGCAAGTGTATAAGTGTATGCGGGCGGACCGTGCCACTGGTCTCCTGAGGGCTCCTTCAAGGTCCTGCCCGCCGCACTGCAATTCAGCCCTCCAGCAAGAGACCTGCCCGGGGAGAGTGGGCAAACATTAGTGGCATGCGCGAAGTAGCAGGCATAAATTGAGTCCTACCGCTTTCTATAGTTTACTTTTGTACAAGAAACAATGGTGTAATGTGAAACTTCTAGAAAAAACGCTTTGGAGTCTATACATTAGGGATGGGCATGATTAGGCGATTCATCGATAATTGATCATTAAGAATTTCATCAATTACGTTCATTTTAATCGACAAACCGAATGTAGGTTCCTGTGCGTAGCGTAGAGTGACCAAATGTCCATGTCCAGGGACAAACAGGGGTCCGTACATGTTAGGGATGGGCATTCGATGAAATTTTCTTAATCGATCGTCGGAAGAATTAACGATCGATTATCGATTAATCATTAACGTTTTTATATTAAAATGATCATCATTATTATTACTATCTGCACTACTAATCTGCATAAATAAATTAAACTTTACGACATATAAACCGTAACGACTCTAGAGCCACATCAGCCCGTTTGACATTATAATGTGTTTAATGCAACTTTGCGCAACTCTGACAGAAACGAAACTTAAATCCGCATCGCTAATTTGCATAAAATAAGCGAAGAAAAAAAACAACTCTTGTGTCGCTGATGCGGTTCAACTTCTGTCAGATTAAAAGACATGACTCAGGTGAATACAGGTTAGTGTGACCATATTTGTGTTTGTCAAAACCAGGACACCGTACGGGGGGAGGGAGGTGGGGACTCGTCATCGACATTGCGCGACTCTCACTCTCAAGTTGAATTTATTTATGCAGATAGTAATAATAATGATGATAATTTTAATATAAAAACGTTAATGATTACTCGAGAATCGATCGTTAATTCTCCTGACGATCAATTAAGAAAATTTTAATCGAATGCCCGTCCCTACTATACATACAAAAAAAATAAACCTCTGTCTTTTTTTTTTAATTAAAGTGTTATATTCGATGTGTCCTCAGGAGGCAGCGGCTTGTCCAGTGTGTCCAGGAGATCAACAGTGGATGGATCACTTAAATCACATTCTTCAACAAAAGGTGAGTCAAATGTGTCTGAAAACATCTCATTGTAATAGATACGGTTGGCATCGGAGGACACGCCCGGTAAAGGAAGGTTTGAACACACCCCTGGGAGAAGAACACGTTCATTTAAATGGAGACGAGCTGCTCTGTCGCCCACTGTTCAATTAGACCTAGACTTAGACAAACTTTATTGATCCACGAGGGAAATTATTTAGACACAGTAGCTCACACATCACGATATAATATAATAACGAAGAGTAAAAAATGTAAATGATAATAACAAATTCTAAATAAGTAGCAAAGGATAGCAAGAGGCAGGTGTGAAATAAGACATAATTATATAAATGTATATGTACAAGTCAAAGTAAAATAGATAAATAAGATATAATTAAGGTACAAATGCTAATGGTCGCTGTGTAGAGAGATTGGAAAACGCAGAATGTCATGACGAATATTTGAATCTGATTGGTCGAAGTGTAACAACAAGCCAAAAAATCTAACTTTTGTTAATTTCAGGTGAGAGAAAAGCACAGGCATCGACCCTAATACGAATAAAAAATTAAAATTAAAACTAAAATTTAAATGAAAACTAATCATTGACCAATTATTTTAACTGCTAGTATTATGTCTATTAGGGATGGGCATTTGATAAAATGTTCTTAATATATCGAGAATTAACAACCAATTTTTTATTAATCTTTTAAGTTTTTATATTAACATTATCATCATTATTATTGCTATTACTAATCTGCATAAATAAACTCAACTTTACAACATATAAACCATGGTAAATGGTCACACTTTTCTATAGCGCTTTTCCACCTTCAAGGCACTCAAAGAGCTTTACAACAAGGAACCACTCACCCATTCACTCACCCATTCACACACCAGTGTACACAGACACTGTGGGCGAGGTGGGTTAAGTGTCTTGCCCAAGGACACAACGACAACATTCATCTGTGGGAGCTAAAATCACACCAGCCAACCTGTGGGTCAGTGGGTCTGACCGCTCAACTCGTGTTTATGTCGAGAGCGGGATGCGTTTGAGATTATAATGTGTTTAATGCAGCTTTGTGCACATTTGTTTACATTTTACAGAAACTAAAATAAAACCACATGGCTCATTTGCATAAACTATTAGCACTGAAAAAAAAAAAACGCTCGCTTCTTGTGCGCTGATGCGGTTCAGCTTCTGTGAGACTAAAAGGCACGACTCAGTGGAATATGAGTGTTCTCTCTGTGACATACATGCTCCAAAAACACGATCATATCCAGGATACTGATGTGCATTTATACACACAGCAACCTGCATTCAGTTTGTCGATTAAAAATGAACATGATCAGCGAAATTCTTAATGATCAATTAGCGATTAATTCATGCCCATCCCTAATGCGCGTGATACAGGACCATATTTTTGTACCAGAAAACACTTGGATCACGGATATTTATTGAACCCTAAACAATTCCAAGTGTGTGGTGCGCTGTAGTGTGTCAAGGAACTGTCTGACAATACACCAGTACTCCTCTTCAGCTGCAATATCTGACCAACAATATTTACTCCTACTACATCATCTCACCCTTTAAACTCATCGGGCTGTACTAGAATTCCTCCTGATCCCACAGTGTTTTTGCCTTGACACTGTGACTCAAGGACCCATTTGTTTTTGTCGTTCTGCCTGGAGTCTCTCTATCGCTCTCTCTGTTTGTTGGTTTCTCTCTCTCGGGCCGTAGATCTGCCGCTACCAGTTGCGTTCGCGCAAATCACAGGAGAACCGCGAGGACTCCGTTTCCAGCGCAGATAAAACAAAAGAAGCCGCACGTCTGAGTCTTCGCGAGCCACTTATGTTTGGACTGGAGTTCTGTCAGCCCTCTGTGATTCCGTGTGTGATACCGTGTGTGATACTGTGTGATGTGTGCGTGTGATTAAGTGTGTTCTCGTCAATGGCAGCCGCAGGCACTCAAGCGTCGCCTCCGCACCACGACACAGCCAGACTCTTCTGCTTCTCTCTCTGTTCCCCAGATCTTCTCGTAACCTTTGGACCTCACCCCCCCCCCGTCTCTCTCCTCTTCCTCCTCCTCCTCCTCCTCCTCCGCCACCCCTCCCACACCAACGCACGCAAGCAAGAAGACCCCGTCCGTGTTTTTTCCCTTCTAGCTGGACAGCTCTCAGTCCCCGGTCTAACGTCTCTCCCTGCCACCCCTCCGTTGTCCCACCACCCTCTTTCACGCTCTCTCTTCTTCCTTCTGCACTCTCTTTCTCCCGCTCTCGCTCGTTTTCTTTCTCTCTCTGCTCCTCTCTCCCTCTATCTCCCTTTCTATCTCTCTCCCTCCCTCTCTCCTTCTCTCTCTCTCTCTTCAGACCCCGAGGCAGCTTGTTAGTGGGGAACTAAATATTGATTTGGCGGGGCTGTCGATGCCGCGAGAATGAGCTACTGTCCACCAGAGACCTCGGCACCAGCAGCCTGCTATCGACGTTTTCCGTGGGCAGAACGCGGGGCGGCGGTGGAGGAGGAGGAGGAGGAGCGGGGGGGGGTACATGGGGGTAGGTACTGTTCGGAGCGGCCGTGAAGTGAAGGGGGGGCTGGTTAGAGGAGGGAGGAGGAGGGCAGGGGTATGACAAGGCTGAGACTCTACCCCCAGGGACCGGCGCAGTCATCCCCACTGCATTCGCACACACTTTTTCTAACCCTTTCAAGTCCATCGTCTGCAGTTTTTTTTTCTTTATTTATTTCGCTCTAATCCTGCTACTCTCTTCTTTCTGCACCTGCTGTTTCTAAAATATCAGATCTTGTTCTGGCACCAAAGACACAAAGCTCAGTGTCACTTTGTCGTGACGAGACGCGTTTGTCACCGTTCTGTTTGAGAGAATGAGGACAGATCAAAATAATGTGGTTAATATCTCCAATTACTTAGCACATTTATATGTAACTAAATCTGGTACGAAGTTTAATATCTACTCGATCAGCGCAAAAACATGACACAATAATGATGATACGAGGTTGGCCATCATCTGATTCTTACAAAAACAGCGCTTCCATCTAATATTTTAACATTATGACTAAATTTAGTTTTCTCATTTGAACAAAAGTGGATCAATTACAAATCCAAAACTATTTTATTTCTATAGCACATTTTACAAACAAAGCAGTTTCCAAAGTGCTGCGCAGAGATCATAAAAGGAAGACAACAAAAACGTAAATGGCTAAAATTTGGTCATACCAGTCCTGAAACAATAAAAAACAAAAAATAAATTACAATCTAAATAAAGCAAAACCCAAAAATGCAGTAAATGACTAAAAGAAATAAAAGAAATAAAAAGCACAAAGGACCACACAACTCATGCAGTGTTAAAAGCCAGAGAATAAAAGTGGACTACAGGTTTAACTGGGGGATATGACAAAAGGGATTTTATTTATTTTTTTCTTGTATTGGACAGCTATGATTATGATTCAGGTTCTATTTTAAAATGGCTTTACACAAACTTATTCACAAAGGTTTAGCTGCAGAACCAACCATATCAGTGACTATTAGACATGACTCATCTTGATTAGAATTTGATTAATTGTACAGACTTAGTTCCTATTTATTTCTATTTATTTATTTTGCACATATAACTCGATACTAGATTTAAAAAGTAGGTGCCAGAAGAGGCAAAAAACACAAAAAGACTTATGGGCTCATCAACCCAAAACACAAAAGATGCACAATAGGTCAAATTTTCCAGCTAAGGTCGTCCTGATCAGTCGTAACAACAACGTCACAGAGACGGGTGCAGCACTTTGGTGCCCACTGCTCCTGAGGAGATGCCCCAGCAGCATTGAATGATGGGTCAAATTTCCCTACAGGAACAATAAGCTGCACTTTAACCTTAACCTTAGTGTAACTATTCAAATGATAAAGAATAAATGAATAATTGAAACCTCTAATCTTTGTGTAGAAGGTATCCTGCCACCATTGCTTTCAAAAAACTATATTCAACTATTCACTGGGCCAGACCTTGTAGTTTTATTTATTTTTTTTATAACTTTGTTTTTATTGGTTTTAAGTAACATTTCAAAACGTACAAATACAATATAAAATCAAAAACTATGTAACAACAGTCTGGAGTTACAGGTTCTTATTTAAACATGCATTTGGTATTGACATTTTTATGTACTATGTTGTTTTACTGGTGTCATTTATGAATACATTCCATTTTTCCCATTGCTCATCGTATTTGTACCCTTTCAGTTTAAGACTATATGTTATTTTTTCCATCACTGAAATATTCTCCAAAATCCTGATCCAGTCTTGTTGTGCAGGTGGATTTGGTTGTGGCCAATTCTTTGTAATTCACTTTTTAGATGCAGCTAAAACAGTTTTTGTCAAATACATGTCCTCCTTCCTTACTACATCAGATATATTTCCCAATTGCATCACCAGACATGTGTTCGGAATTCCATATCCCAGAATACTCGTTAAGTTTGTGTTTAATTGTTCCCAATATATCCTAATTTTCAGGCAACTCCAAAACACATAGTAACACTGAAGCAGAGCTCGCTTCTCTCTCTGACTCTTCCTATCTTCCTCCCTCTTTCTCTCCTTCTCCGTCTCTCTCTTTCTTTCTCTCTTTCTGCCCCATTTCCCTCCCTCTCTCTGTCCCCTCTCTCCCCTTCTCTTCCTCTCTCTCTGTGTGATAGTCTATGAAGGAGTCAGCGAGCAGAACATGTGTGAAGTGCCCGGCCTGTCACCCGGCCTGTGACACTAATAACACACTCCTCTAATAGTTATATGATCTCCACACACTTCTGCGCTAATAAAAAGACACCGACAGAAATAGACGTAGCGGAAGGAAGGAAGGATGAGAGAGGAGAGATCCATGTCCTTAACTGGAGCGAGCTGTCACCGCCCGAGGATGGTACTTGTGCTCGTGTGAGCCTCATCTTGTCACTGTCAGGGTCTAATAGAGCTGAGAGTGGGACAGCGCTTTATTATCACAGTGGCCCTGTCAATACAGAAGCCATCAGTCTCTCTG